AGAAGGAACTGCTCCCACAAGTTTCTGTTGTCTAGCAAGCCAACTCCATCTGTCCTAGTCCAATAAGCATTCTATGCTTTGGAAAGACCCCAGCCATTTTCTCAGTGTAGATCCCTTCTCATTAAGTCTGCTACCTTCACCAGTCATTCTTTAGAAAGTATGAAGCCTGTCCTGGTTTTGGAATCAGTAGGGGTGGTTGAATTACTCTGGAAGGCTTGGTTAGTGGAGAAAGGATGATTGGCAAATAGCTGAGAAGCAAAGAGAGCACCCTTCTGAAAATTAGATCGAGACTGCCAAATACTTTAGAAAAAACCTATATACATATATAAACCTGCATAAAAACTATATCTGAAAAATCTAAAACAAAAATATTTCTAGAGTTCCTCTCCCCACTTCACATTTATAATCTGTCTATTGTCCCCAGTAGAATGCATTTCTTTGGAAATCTGTGCATCAGTCTATTATTGAACTTTAAAACTTTAACTCATTGGCACATTTACTAGAAGGCAAGTCCAGCTGGCATCTCAAGCAAGCTCAGGTTGCAATGAGGGGTTGACAGCAGAGTCCTATGCAACTATTATTTAGGAGTAATTCCATCCAATTTAATGAGATATAAATATTTTTGTCATTGCAGTTTGTTAATATACAGTATAGAATATCCAGAAAAATGGAGCAATGGATTTGTTTTTATTTTTTATTTATTGCTGCAACTAACAAAGAATCTTGGTACAGCCTATGGAAGCTTGCATGCTAGTTCAGCATCAAGATGCCAAAAGATATGTTGCTCTTTTTAAAAGGGAAGAAAAATAAAACATCGGATTTATCTCAGTTTAAAAGGAATGTTTTTATGGATTTTATTTTATATATTTTATAGTGTATTTTTAAAGTGTTGTGAGTTGCTTATGGTCGGGATTTTTTTTTTTAAAAAAAATAGAAATTGTGGGTTTGCAATCCAGACTGATCCCTATTTAGAGTTTATCTCTAATCATTCGTGTGATAAACGGGCTCAAAACTGGCTAGAGGCTAGTTGTCTTCCATGGCCTTAAGTAGACCCAAAGGATAGTACAGGGTGATTCCGGTTTCCGGCTGGAAACTTTCTTCCCTTGAAACGGAGCCCGTTCTAAGCGGAAAATAGCCCCAAAGTCCCGGGCACCAGTACTGCCTCCATCAGCCAGAACCTTACACCCAAGAAACCTCGCAAGGGCAGGAGCTTTTTCGGATTGCACCGAAAAAGATTGCACAGCCCTTTGACTTTTCCGTGGAGAGGCTTTTTTTAAAAAAAAAATTTTTCAGAACAGTTGCACTAGCTTCTTTTTCGCCAACCTTCTTCGTTAGTTTTCTTCTCCAATTACTTACGAGATATTCGCCACAACTTTTTAAAGTTATTTTTCCCAGCCGGAAGGCGGAAAAAAGAGCAAGCCCCCCCCCCACGGTGCGGCTCAGCCCAGAGCAGTTCTGGCCCCAGTAGATCTGCGCGCGCGCGTTCAAAAGGCGAGGGGGGGGGAGTTCAGGCTTGACCTTCGCGAGAACTTTGCAGATAGGGAGAAAGGAGAAGAGGGGGAGAGGAGGAAGGGGGAAGGAGGGAGAGAGAGAGCGGGCTGTGAGAAGCCTCTTTTTTCCCCCTGCCAGACCCGTCCTAGGTCCCCGCCAATCGCTGCCCAAAAGGGCCACGTACTCTGACGAGGACCTTATCAGGCCCGCCGCTCCAATCCAGCGATTTGGGGCCAGGACTCCTGACATCCCAATCGGCCATCAATTTACCTTCCCACCGCCCCGCTTCCCCATTTAGCTTTTAACGTCAAAAGCTACATTTTTGTCGGCTCCGGCCTGTCTAGGGCTCTTGCGATTTAGCTCCAGGAATGATTGCTCCTGAGAAAACAGCAACAGCCCCATTACCGAGCAATTAAAAAAGCCCTTCCCTCCGCCTCCCTCTCTAGACACTTCGTCGCTCGCCATCACCTTTCCCCGGGACCGCCAGCTGACCGAAAGGGACCATTTTAAAGCCCAAAGTTTAGGGATCATTTTTGCGACGAAGGAAGGAAAAAGTTTTCCAGTTACTGACTGGTATCTTTTATTCATTATGCCCTGGATCCTGAGCCTCCTAGGTTTGAAATCTCATTGCCTGAAACGATCTTTGAAAATGCTTACAAGCGATGTTGCTATCTGGAAGGAAATGTTAGTTCTGGTTAGTTTTAATCCATAGATATTTTAACCATATGCTTCTGAACTCTGATTAGCAGCTCAGGTAGTACCATCCACCTTTACGATGATTCCCCCAATAACTATATCCGAATAAACCTGAACTGGAAGGCACCTTGAAAAACTCCGGACTAGGAGCTGGATTCTGCCTTTTCCACTCACGGCTTTCACTTCATCATCCCAGCGTTGCCTGAATGCATCCGCGCGCCGTTCACTTTCAGAAAGATAGATGAGGAATCCACCATAAGAGTTCACCCAAAAGGCCGCAATATTTATTGTTTCACCGAGTTCTTGGAAATGACTTCTTCCCAATTGTCCTTCCTGCTTTGTCTGAGCTGCGAACCCTGGCGTGAGAAGAAGACTGGCTTCCTCAAGTAACTTCTCTTAAATTAACCAGACGCTGGTTCGAGTTCTTTCTAGTGTCTGAGAATTAGAAGTGGCTTAGGCGGAAGCAATACGTTTCTTCCCTTCAAGTGGGAAATATTTTAAAAGGAAAGTACCGGGGGGTGGGGGCAGAAGTCGAACCATCTGATTGAAAGCAAGGGCTTTTTTTCTTCTTTTTTTAAAAAAAAAGTCCAGTGTGAAGCATTGTGTTTATAGATTGATGAAATCACCGTATATTGATTACATGCGATTGTGCCTGGAGACTAGAAATTTTCCAGGCAGGGAAGGGCTGACCCGAAACTTTGGTGACCTGAACATTAACGCCCAGGACAAATCCTGGAAAGGAAGCGGAGGCCCGGTGGGATCCAACTTCAGCTACAGTAGCAGTGATTTTCTTCTCTCTTTCTTGTTTTTAAGGAGGGGGGGTATTTTCTGGAAAGCAAGTGCACCGGCTAGTCCAAGGAGTCTGACCCCAATGCTAGAAAAGGGCACATCATTCTGGCCGGTTGTTCTAACCTCGCAACCTTCCTGTAGTCAGCGAGAGGAGCGAGCAATGATCGAGGGCATTGGAAAATCTCTCGGCGTCTTTACTATAACTGACACGTATGCCTTTCCCTTTGGATCTGGAGCAGAGCCAACGTGCAGAAGAGGTTCCATTGCACGCTAGGGGGTACAGATGCAAAAAAACGGAGCAAGAGAAAAGAAAAGAAAAGTGAACAGTTCCGGTCACTTAGTCCCTAACAAAGAGCGATCAAGGAAGCGATCTTAATCTCCCCCGCTTTCCGGGTCTTGTGGCCATTAGATCTTAGAGCTCAACCCGAAAATTTTATAGCGGTAATTAGGATCGCGCGTTTTCTCTGCTGGATATTCTGATTTGAGTTCTACCGGTAAGTAATGCCTGCCTGTTGCCCACAAAGGCCGGAAAAAAACAAACGTTTTTGCAAACGCGATTTCTTACACCTCGACTTCCCCAAGGCGTCCGACCAATTGCCTTTATATAGGAAGGACCGGGGCCCGGCCAGTTTTAAGACTGGAGCGGAAGACATGGCAACTTAGTCCAGCACCTTTTTTCTCCCGGTGTGGTTCCAAGTGCCATTATCGCCCCGCATCGCAAGCCGCCCTCTCCTCTCTCCTCCTATGCAAACAAGCCAATTCTAATTCGCCAGCCTTTTGCCAGAGCATTTGAAGGGGGGGGGGGAGTGAGTTAAAATATTAAAAAAGGCCTTTGGAAAATGTTCGTTCGGGGATATCGCAAAGGAGAAAGGCACTCACATTTCGTGTGTAAATGGCTCTCTCGCACATTTTCCAGATGCCTAGATTGTTATGTAATCAGGCCAACCGACCCGCTTAACTATGCGTTGGCATGCCCCAGCCAAAGCTCCCCCCGCCCGGTGATTTGCCGTCAGAAACCGTTTCTAACTTCGCCTTACAAGCTGGACGAGCCACGCCAAGCAGTGAAGCCGGCGTGGGGGGCACCCTCACTCTGATAAGTGTGAAAGACAGGCCCAGATTAGCTTCCGTCTTTGCTTTCCTCCCTCTTTCACAACAAACACCTTTCAAAGGCCGCGGTAAATTATTGGTCCCATCAGTAAAAATCGCAGTGCAAAAGTAAGCGGACTCTACTCCTCTCCTCGTCCCCAGAAAGCAAAGGAAAAGTGGGTTTCTGGCGTTCCTTTTTTTTCATAGCGACTCTTACATAAATTAAACGCTAAGAGGGCTTCTCTCTTTTGATCACAAAGGAATGTCCCTTTGAGAAAAAGCTGCTCCTAGCCAAAATCTCAAAATCATAACAATTGAATAAACATGTCCCGCCCTTGGAATATCTTTTGCCCCTTCAGTTTCCAAACCACCGACGTAACCTCCGCTAGTTTCCCAAATAAAAGCCTTGTTTTTTTAAAAAAAACCAACCATACAAAACTACAAGCTGTTCTTAATCACATTTACTCGGCAGTGAGTCTTAAAGGGTTCCATGTTATTTCCCCAGCCAATCGCACACAGGATCGATTTTTATATATTGTCTTCATAATTGAATTGTATTTAACCAACCTCTTCGGTTAATGTTTAGAATTTTTTTTACAAAAGATTTTGAGGTTGGGTTTAAAGCCTTTCAGGTTATAAAATGTAATTATTTTAACTTTAAAAAATACACTCAATGATCCAATGAATACTTACAACATTTGGGACTTGCAATATTAATTATTCCAACAGCACGAATTGCAGTTTGCTTAAGTTTAATTTTAATTTTTGCTTTGCTTCCTTTAGGACTGAAGTGCAGATTAACAAAGAACTGTTAGACACTATTTTCTTCACTGTGGGATGGGGGGGTGGGGAGGGAGGGGAGGGGGAACGCTCACAACTCTGGAGTCCTATCTCGAGTAAGATAGGAAACCTGGGGGGTGGGGGACCGGGGAAGCAACTGGCTTACAGTTATCATCCACAATCATTCAAAACAGAGCAGGTATTAAAGATATACATTTCATATTACACACTAATGCCTTCATTTTTGTTTTTGATTTCCTTTTGTATCCTGGATTCTATACAAACAAAGCAACATAACATTCATCACGATGGAAGGGGGAACCACCCTTTGGAGATCGTGTTTCTCCTTACCATACCACGCCGGAGTTTTCCTCTTTATTTATTTCATTGAAGTATGGAATGCTTTTCTTCCAGGATCCACATTTTTTTAAAGGAGAAAGACTAGGGGAGGGAAATTGCACATAAATAAACCATACGATTCCAAAACAAGGGCAAGAAGGAAAAGTCCTCAGCTGAGCAACCTCGCTTGGAAGGTCCAGAGTCCCAGAAGGGACAAATTCTCCACTCTTCACACTCGCCTTCACTGCTTGAGCTCCAGAGCCCAAACGTGCTGGGGCCAGCCAGTCCTTCCCTTGGTTTTCTTGTCGCTGCTGCTCACTGTGCTTTTCAAGATCTCGTTCTGTTTGAGAAAAGGGGTGAAGAGGAGAGACAAAGCCATTATCCTTCACCTCATTTCTGGGTCACTATCTCCCATCCGTCCCCTTTGGGGAGATTCTGCGGGACTGGCCGTCAGACCTGGCCGCAGAACAGAAAACCCGAAAACCAGATTCAGCGTTTTATTTTTCACAAGCCGGTTTATTCGCAGCCACCGGCGATTCACAAGTTAAAGTTGCAATCGTAGATATCCACGAGTCGGAAGCAAGCGCCGTTCATTTCAACGGGCGTTTACTTCTTGGTAGACGCGTGCTGGGGTTGTGCTGGGGTTACTTTGCAAGCCGGCTGGTTTCGGTGAAGAACAAGGGAACTGTGGTCAAAGAAACCTTACTCTCCCTTCTGAATTTATGGGATACTCATTCAGTTTTACGTCTTCCAGACCGGCGCAATCACAAAACATTGCAATGTAATCCAGATTTTAACAACTTTGATTGTTGGAATTCCTTTCTGGGTGAATCAGGGGAACACGCGCGCATACTTACTTAAATATCTTTATCTAAGTTCAATTTTAAAAATGCTTCTGATGATCATGTTGTCTTAATTGCAAATGTATAGCCAAATAGCCTGAGAGTGTACTTGTGACTGTATTGATACAAAATGCACAGCCTGTGCAGAGTAAGCCTCTTAGTAAACTTGCTGTAAAACACACACACATAGCCCAGTCCCCAAATTCATCATTTTGTCTATATATTGTCTGCACCATATCTGCAAGAAAAAAAATGATGTCTGATACACACGTGCTAAAGGTCAGTTTAAATGGGTGTTAAATGAGCTGCCTCAGATATTGATACAATCTCAATTTAAGGAAAGGGTCCCGTCCCCCCCTTGGGAGGATAGCTGATCCAGGGAAAGATATTTCCACCACAAGTCACCCAACGCCAGTTAAAGAGCAAATACTAAACTTCCTGGTATTTTTTATTCTAACCGCAGCTCTACAAGAAGGTTTGACCCTATTCAAAAAGGTTTAGCCTTCAAAAATTAAATCACTTTCCATATATTAATCTCCAAAATTGGATGCATATTTTATATGGGAGATATTTTGATCAAAATGCCATTAATTTTTCCAGTGAATTTTTTCAAGTGAATGTGGATTTTCAGGCCCCAATCCACTGAATGCTCCGGCTGCTATAAAGTTCATATATGTACATATTCCATCCATTTCAGTGGGTTAGCATGTCTGCTTGAAATGAAATTCCAATTTGGAATTTATTCATTTCTTTATCTTGACCCTTTTCCAAACTGCAGCTTAAAATGACCTTCAGGCTTGTTTGTAACCTTAATTCTTCTAGTCTGCTTGGGGATGCATCTTTTAGCTTTCATGCCCCAAAACATGACAACATTTAATTTCCATAAACAGCATCCCAAAATATGAAAGAAAATAATCAGAGATTGCCAATTGATCACATGGGCAAACCTGCTTACACACAAGCTTTTTCCGCTGCTTTTAACTTGCAAGAAATCAAGAAACATGACAACTGGAAGCGTTGGTAGAAGAAGGGCTTCCTGTAAGCTATTTAAGCTGAAGTTGGTTTAAAATAAAAGTTGTGCTTCTATTCTAATTCTAACGCCACAATTTAGTTTATTGTACGAATGGAAGCAAAAAGACTTGGATATTTTCTGAAAGAAATTAAATAGAAAGCACAAAGCAGTGTGAGGCAAGTACAACATTTGGAGATTTCGGTTAATATCCAATTGTAGTACATGTTTCTCCAGGCTGGTGCCTGCCAGCTGTGTTGTACCTTCTGTTGAGGATGGTTGAATTTGTAGCTATCTGTAGGTTACCAGGTTGAAGAAAATTTCATATTTGGCAGTTTCAATGTTTATGCAGTGACAAAGAATACTCATTGGCACTCACGGGGGGGGGGGGAGAGAAGGAATATAAATCTGAAACTGCAATACCACTTGAAATTTAGAGTCAAACTATTCCAATTCCTCTGGGTTTGCAAGGCAGTTGCTATTGTGGGCATAACAATAGAAGGTGTCCGCTATCCTCCCTTTCTTCTCCCAAATTATATTCCTTTCCTAAGACAGCCATAAATTGTAGAACTCTGATGTTCTTGGGTCTCAATTAACAATTTAAAGTCAAAATGTGGATTGTGATGGGAAATTAGTAACTGGGGGCTGGGTGGGTTTGCAAACTGATTTCAGTTTCATCCTCAAACAGAAATTAGGATCTTTTCCAACCCACATCTGAGCAAAAACTAAACACTTGGATTTAAACTGGAATGGAAACTTCCAACATTGGAGAGCTAAAGCAAGAAGAATGAGAGAAATAGTTTTTTCCCCCTAAAGCTATTGATTTTTTTAAAAGGCATTCTTAGTAGATCCCTCTGCTTATCATTGCTGAGAACATTCCAAAGGATTTCATTCAGGGACAAATTTATAAAGATGTTGGCTCCCAAGACAGTTTCTACAAAATCCTAGTGGGCTCATTTAGCCAATTTGTGAATCCTTGACTAGTTTCTCATGTCTGCAATCCTAAAAGGCCTTGAGACGAGAAACCAATGCAGCTGAAAGGGATGGGGTTTATTTTAAAGATGAATTGCAATTTCATCTAAAGAAATACTTTCCCCCCTCCCCTCAGGGACCTGTGTTAGTTACACAGCAACTCAGTAAACCTGGTCAGAAGGGAAGTGAAAGGGCTGCTCCAGCCAGCGATCCTATCTCTGCATCTTCCCTCTCTTTGTCATTTTTAAAAAAGTCTTCCTTGGGAATAAAGGAAGATGGATGTTTTATTGCATATGAATTAATATATGACTATCACGAGGGCCATTTCCAATCGGCCACAGGAATGCAATTCATACTTGGGGTGGGCATATTCTCCTATCCAAGGGCCTCCCATTCATCTGGCTCTGAACTCCAAAAAAACATTATGCAGTATTTAAACAAAATTTGAAATGCAAATTACTTCAAATTGAGAATATTTTATTTGGAAATCAAGCCAAAATCATTACCTCTATCCCCTACGGCCAGCCCTGACCAGGGTCAAATTCTTTCCTACTCATTTTGGCTCCATGAGCTTGGCTTGGGGCAAGGACATCAGGCTATTGTTTCTCTGGGCCCTCAAGCAAGCCTCGCAGCCCCATTCCAAAGACATTGGGGGAACCTTCCTCCTGGATCCATCCGGGACGCCTAAGAAACGACCCTTTTGTTGCATTACCCGAAACTCACTATCTTCCCCCGTCTGCCCGGTTGGTCCCTAAATTTCAATCGATTAAGGGCGGACTTAGCCGGGTGAGATTAAGAAGCGCGGCCCGCTCTGCTTCTGAGCTACGTCTTTCAGCGGCCCTTCAGAAGAGAGAGTGCCGGCCTAAGCAGAGAGGCTTCGGCGCTGGGGGCCTGTGAGGCTCGCCTTCCCCGCCCTATTCCCTCCCGGGCCCGCGGCAAACACTGACCAGCTCCTTCTTCCTCTTGTCCTCCTTGAGGTCGGTCTTCTTGATCTCAGCCTTGAAGGCCTCGGCCTCGCCGTTGGCGTCGTCCTTGGCCAGGAGGTCCATGAGGTAGGCGATGTAGCTGGTGGCCAAGCGCAGCGTCTTGATCTTGGAGAGCTTGGTGTCGGCCGGGACGTTGGGGATGCACTCGCGCAGCTCGGCGAAGGCGCTGTTGATGCTCTGAGTCCTGCGCCGCTCCTTGCGGTTGGCCGTGCCGCGCCGTTTGACCGGCCGGGGGCCGCCCCCCAAGCCCGGCGGCCCGCCGTCACTACCAGGGGGAGCCACGCCGCCCACGTAGTGGTGGGGATGCTCCAGGCCTGGCGCTCCG